TGACATATTATCAAATTTATTTTTTTCCCTTTAATGGGCTCCATGTAAAGTAATTAGCCAAATAGTAGAGTTTTAAACAGTCGAGCATTTAGCAGAAATGCTAAGCTATCGAGCGCAACAGTGTCGCCCATGATTTTAATGGCTCTGGTTCCAGAAGTGAATTCCCATTCATTTTCTCCAGTGATGTTTCAGGAAATCCTTATATGAAGAGTTTTAAGCCTTGAACCAAGCCATATAACTGTAAACAGATGATGTGGCTCAAAAAAAAAAAAAGTGCACTGTAAAAGACTGACTGTACATAGTTACTTTTAAGAGTGAAAGAACTACGTATCCCAAATCTCAGCTTCCCCATCAAAGAGCTTTCCAAAAAAAACAAAAAAACAACTAAAACAACTAAAACAAAACAACTAAAAAACAGAATTTGATCCTTCTTCCTTCCTTGATGGATAATACTTATTGGGTTATGATATATCTCATAATCAAAATCTCTGAGGAGAATATGAATGAGATTCTTACTTCCAGAACCCCACTGTTGACCTCTGTAGTAACAGTAACACCAGTGCACCACAGTCTGAAAACAGACTCACTAATGTGCCTTTAACCGTAAAATGTGCCAAAAAATTTGCTAATGGTACCAAACAGTCAGCAAATGCTACCAATGAAAACAGTACGCAGCGTATTTATTGCTATCTAAATTGAAGAGCTGTTTCTACTTGTCAAAGTGACACAGTCTGACTTTCACCTATGCAGATATTTCTACAGGCGGTTAGACGTCGGGTGAGATGTGAAAAGTCGTGTGAACTCATCAGTCTGAGGCAATTTGTTCTGGTTCAGAGAAGGAGGGGTCACATCGTTGAGAATCTCATACAAAATATTGTGAATTCGCCATATCATAAAAATCCCTTACTTCAATTTTAAACTTTGCCACATTTTTAATCACCTGAAAAAACAACAACCAAAAAAAAAAAAGCTAATTACAAACATCAACCACTGAACGTAAAAGTGCATAGAGCTAGACTGATGAGAAATACAGGATTGTGCTTTTGAATCTCGAGACTGGACTCGACTTGGCCTGTAACCAATGAAGAAGTACATCCCAAGAGTCAAACTCCTACTTATTTTTTTTTTTGGCTAGCAATAACACACTCTAAATACAAAAGAAACCAACAACTTTAAACAGAGAACACTGAAAGGTTAAATTTGATTGTATAGTTCTACCCAATGAGGACAGATGACTTGACTGAGCTGTTTCATATTTACAGTATCCATAATGGTACAGCAGAGTCTGAGCACAAGATACATTTACAAAAAGCTCTGTTAACATTAGGTAAAAATAGTGTGAGCATTTTATTTACACTATCCCAGGCTGCCCAGCCTTTTAATACACTCAGTTACACATCATATATTCACGTCATGTCTGAAAAAAGCCTCTCGTCATCATCATCATCA